GCTCACAATCTTGATCCAATATAAAGGGAGTTTTTTTGGAGAACAGCCTGCATCATTTTTTATCATGTTGTTTTTTTGTGCCACCAAATTGACTCCAACTCATAGTGACACTATGCACATCGGCTCTGAACCCTGCTTTATCTTGAGCCAATTTCATTGTCTCTGACACATCTACCCCCATTGCCCCAGTCACTGAGTCAATCCATCTCATCTAAGATCTTTCTCTCCTGCACTGTCCCTCCACACTCCCAAGCACGATGTCGGTCTCTGAGGACTGGTCCCTTCTGGTAACATGCCCACAGTATGTCAGATGGAGGCTCAAAGTCCTTGCCTCCAAGGAGTAACCTGGTTTCACCCTTTCCAGGATGGACCTTTTGTTCTCTCAGCAGCCCATGATATATTTGATACTCTTCTCCAGCACAACAACTCAAAAGCAGTGATTCTTCTTCTATCACCCTTATTCATTTTCCATCTCTATGAGGCATAGCAAGTAAGTGTGAAGTTGTTGTTGTTATGTGCCGTCGAGTTGCTTGTGACTCATAGCGACCCTATGTACAACATCCCTAAACTGTGCTCTGTCCTGTGTCAATCTCACTGTCTCTGACACAACCATCCCGATTACCCCAATCACTAAATCAATCCACCTCATAGAGGGCCTTCCTCTCCTGCATTGTCTCTCCACCCTCCCAAGCATGATGTCCTTCTCCAAGGACCTGTCCCTCCTTGCAACATGTCCAAAGTATGTTAGACAGAGCCTAAGAATCCTTGCCTCCAAGGAGCAATCTGGTTTGACCCTTTCCAGGATGAATCTGTTTGTTTTCCTAGCAGTCCATGGTACCCTCAACACTCTTCTCTAGCACCAAAGCTCAAAGGCATCAATTCTCCTTCTATCCTCCTTAAGACTATGTCCTAAAATAAGCATATCTTGCTCCAGATTGACACCATCGCTCTTCAGTACTCCCTGACAGCAGATTTTTCCCAATGACATTCATATTTTTATTTCCTGGTTGCTGGTACCAAGAGCCCAAGCAAGAACCAAGAAAACTGAAGCTGTTAACAATTTCAATCTTCTCTGTCTATCATGATGCTGCCAATTGGTCCAGTGGCGAGAATCATTATTTTATTCATGTTGAGCTTTAATCCACATTGGAGGCTCTAGTCCTTGACCTTATGCAGCAAATGCCTCAGGTCCTCCTCAGTTTCAGCAAGCAGGGTTGTGTCAACTGCATAACACAGGTTATTGATGAGTTTTCCTCAAATACTGATGCTACACTTCTCCTCACAGAGCCCAGCCTCCCAGATAATATGTTCCATATATAGATTGAAAAGGTATGGAGATAGGATGGATCCCTCGCATACACCTTTCCTGATTTTGAACTATGCTTTTATCTTACAAGAGATAAAAAGAAAGAAAAATAAGAAGTGGAGGAACCTGACTACTTCCAAGGAAGAAGAGCAAGGAGCAGAATGTGTCCTTTGGACCGAGGTTCCCAGTGCTGAGAATCCGCTAAACATAGGGTAAGATTGAGGACAAGACACATGTATTTCTCAATAAATGATAGCCCCATAGATGCTAAAAAAGACGCAAGCCTTTCCCTAGAGCATATACATAGAAAAAGCCTTCCCTTTGAACTGGTGCCACGAATTCAGAGCTCTTAAACACATCTTTTTCTACCTCAAGCCATTCTTTCTAATAATGACTCTTCATCTTTATATGCAGAACATTGTTGATATGTGCCATCAAGTTAGAACTGACTCATAGCTGATCCTCCAGCAGGTTTTCAGAGGCTTTAAATTGCATAGGAGGAGATTGTCTTTCTCCTGCGGAGCAGCTGGTGCATTTGAACTTCCTGTCATTGGGTTAGCAGAGCATGTCAGTGTTGTATCCTTCCTTCATTCCTATTCAACCTGTACGCTGTGCAAATCATTCAAGAAGCTGAACTTGACAAAGAATATAGAATAAATACTGGAAGAAGACTTATCAACAACTTGTGTCATGCAGGTAACACAACCTTGATTGCATAAAGTGAAGAGGACTTGAAGCACTTGCTGCAGAATATCAAAGACATCCTGTCCATTGGACCAAAAAGCAATATAAACATAGATGGAAAGGAAGATTGTAGTTGTCAACTATTTCATTTTATTTTGATACATATCCATGTTAGTCAACATTTATGTTAACAGCAGCCAGGAACTCAAAAGATGTATTGCGTAGGGGAAAAAATCTGTGTTCAAGAAACTCTCTAAAGCTTAAAGAGTAAGGATATAAATTTAAAGACTAAGGTGTGTCTTATTCAAATTAAAGTTTTTTCATTTGCTTCCTATGCATCTGAAAGTTAGATAATGAATAAAGATGATAGAAGAAGAATTAATGCCTTTGAATTGTGGTGTTGGAAAAGAGTACTGACTGTCCCATGAAATGACAAAAGAGCAGATAAGTTTTGGAGCAAGTGCCTCTAAGGATGTCCATAGAGGGAAGGATGGTGGAACTTTGTCTCACATACTTGGACATGTGATTAAGAGGGGTCAGTTTCTGGAAAAATGATGTTGTGCCAAGAAAGGTAGAAGGCAGACCCTCAACAAGAATGGATTGACATAGTCACTGTCACAGTGGGCTAGAGCATATCAGAGCTGGTATGGATGGCACAGGAGAGGGTAAGGTTCAGATCTGTTGTCCACAGGGTCTCTATGAGTTGAAGCCAACTCCATGGCACCTAAGAACAACAAAACCAATGAAAGAATAAATTTCTGTCTTTTGGTCACCTTTAACACCTATCTCTGTTCTGGCAGCACTTGATATTAAGACAGTTTCCTTGTACGTTTTGGATCACAAACTCATCTTCAGGGAGTTTGTAGCTATCGTGTGCCTTCTGGTTTGAGGTAGTGTCTCTAGATGGGCTGCATCTGTTTTGCCAGTCACCTCAGCTCTGTCTGGGGTCACTCTGTGTTCATTTTTATTGTGAGTCCTCAGTTCCTGTGGAAAGTCTCCAGGTGGTACAAACATGTAACACATCTAGTAGCTAACCAAAAGATTGGAGGTTCAAGTCCATCTAGAGTCAATGCATAGAAAAGGCCTGGATCATTGGAAACTTTCTGGAACACAGTTGTACTCTGTGTGGGATCCCATTTGTTTGGGATCATGATGGGTCAAAAATCATGGCTAAGAAGTAGATAGTGTAAATGAAAAATAATATGGTATGAAAAACAGACCTGATTTTCTTTTTAAAAAGCTTTGATTTGGTTGCTGTTTGTTTTTGCCCTCTAGGATGTCAGCTCCAGGAGAACAGAGATGTTCCAATTCTGGCTGTGTCCCCAGTACTGAGAGCAGTGCATGGGACACAGCAGCCCCTCAGTGTTCGTTGCAAGAGGGAGTAAAAGAAGGCCCAGCTCATAGTATGATGTGAAGAATAAATAGAGTATCATATATAAGCTGTGTTCGGCTGCAAGTAACAGAAAGCTGGATGAAGAACAGAGTTTGTGTCAGAACAAGACTCCTGATGGTGGGCAGATGCTGTCACTGATTCCAGGACTCATATTTTCAGTTTCTGCAATGTTTTGGGCCTTTGTCTTGCGGTTGTGAAGTGACTGTGGTTCCAGAGATCATATCCACATAAAAGGAGAAAATAAAAGAAAAGGAGGAGTATTTCCTTCTTATTGGGAAGGTAAAGATTTTTTTTTTCTTGGTGGTTTAGTGGCAAGAAGCCGCTCTGCAATCCAGAGGCACATGGTTTGATGCCACCAGCTGCTCCATGGAAGAAGGATGGGGAATCTCCTCCCATGAGATTAACAGCCTCTGAAAACACAATGACAAACAAGAGCAAACTTACGCTTTTTTTCTTATTGATGAGAAATGGGTTACAAAGTTACCCCAAAATCAAGGGAAACTAGAAAGAGAAGATTTCCCTTTATTAAGACTCTACAGATAGGAACACCTGATATGCAAGCTGGCCCACTAAGTAAAGGTTGGTAGTCTGAATTCACCCAGAAGTACCTCAGAAGTAAGACCTGGTGATCTGCCTCAGAAAGTTCAGATTCTTGACCACCCCGTGGAGCATGCATGCATTCAGTTCATATGATATGGATTCAATTTAGTAGCTACTAATAATAAACTCTATAGATAACCAAATACATGAGGAGAGGGATTGAGGGCAAAGGGGGTGTAAATACTCCAACTGAAATAATATATGCATGTCAAAGTCAAAGTCATTACTATTGAGTCTGAACCAACTCATAGATGATCCTCCAGCATATTTCCAAAACTGTAAAATGCATGGAAGGAGATTGTCCACCTTTATTCCTTAGAGTTGCTGGTGGACCAGAACCAGCACAGAGGTGCAGCCTTTGCCTTAGGAGCTGTGATTAGAAACTGTTTATGTCACATGAATCCCTCTAATAGTTCTGGTCAGGGAACTCTGGTGACTAGTGAGTAAGGAGCTGTGCTGCCAACCCAAAGGCACATGGTTTGAATCTGCCAACTGCTCCAAAGGATAAATATGGGCAATCACCCCTCCCATGTGACTCTGAAAATCCAATGGAGGCTCAGATATGAGTCTGTTCCAACCCCATAGTATAACAATAGCTCTGATGGTATAGTCTGCAGGCTTGTGCTGCCAACGCAAAGGCCACATCTTTTTGGAGGGAGATTCCAATCCACTGACAGCTTCTTGGGAGAAAGAGGAGCAATCTCCTTCTGGCTGATTTACCTCCTTCGGAAACCCAGTGCAGGGTCTCCTATGAATCAGTTCTGACTACACAGCAATGAACTTTTTAATGAGAGAGCGATTCTATTGGCATCAGCTCTTCTAGGCTCCTGGAGACAAGCAGTCACCCCGCTGGGGTCTCCTTCCCTTTCTCCTTGTTCTGCTCAGAGTGCTGAAGCTCTTTAAAAAAAAAAAAAAAGGAAAGGAAAAAAATACCCTATATTTTCCCAAGTGAGTCACTTTCTGCTCTCGTTACTTCCGTTCTCAGGAAATTGGTTAGATCCTGATCTCAGCCTGAAGGTGGTGGAGAGAAATCAAAGTTCCATCAAGCCCACATCAAGGTCAGTGTCAAGGTCTCTGTCAAGAAGACTGAGATGAAAGCAACAGAAGAGTCCTCCGCCAATCTCGGGCAGACACTGGAGTGGCTGAGGAAGGAACTGGTAAGGCTTCACGTTTCTTTCTATCTATAACCCACCCCACATATCTCAAGGCTCCCTGGTCCCCCACCCCACCCTCAGATGCTCCCTTGTCTGGGTGGGAGGCTGCAGGCTGGGGTGTGGCCCCTGCAAGCTCCCCTCTGAGCAGCATGCTACACAGTCAACATCTCAGGTGCTGGGATAAGTAGGTCGTGGCCTACATAGGAGGCCCTGGGTGAAGCGCTCGTCAGACTGCTTTGGGAATTGCACTGAGTTCTTGGGTATGTGCCCAGCTCTGCTGCTGTGTGGCGTCTAGAGAGGCTTTATCTCTCTGAGCCTCAGGTCCTTTATAAAATGGGGAGAACAACAGTGCCAACGTTGTAAGGAGTAATAGAAAGATTTACTGAGGAAGTGTGTGCAATACACTTAGTATGTGCTCAGGACATCCACGGTGACTATATTCCATTCTGATGCAAGTCCATGGGGACTCTGTCTGCTGCTTAGCCTGGGTCTGCTAGAAGCAGGGGCTCAGACAAGGACTAGAGTCCCTGCATGATGCAAACAATGGCTCACACTCAGCTGCCAAAGGAAACGCTGGAAGTTTGAATTCACCCAGAGTCATCTCAGAAGAAATTCCTAGTGATTTTCCTCCAAAACATCTCAAAATTCAATTTTGGCATCAGAACTGACTCATAGCTGACCCAGCTTTGAGTTTCCGAGGCTATAAATCGCACAGGAGGAGACTGTCCATCTTTTTCCTGCCACTGGTGGATTCGAACTGCCAGAGAAGCACAGACATTGAGTGAACAGCTCAACTCCCTACTGATTACGCCAAACATCAATTGAAAATGCTTTGGAGCATGGTTCTACTCTAATATACAGGGTCTCTGTGAGTCACAATCAACTTACTGCAACTGCTTGTTGTTCTTTTATGCCGTTGAATCGAGTACAATAATCTGAACCCTGTCCTATCTGGTACTATCCTCATCATCTCTCACATAGCCAAACCCATTGCTGCAGTCAATCCATTTCATTGAGAGTCTTACTCTCTTTCATTGACCTTTCCAAGCATGATGTCCCTTTCCAAGGAATAGCCTATCCTAGCAATATGCCCAAAGTGTGTAAGATGAAGCTGAACTGATGTTGCTTCCAAGAGACACTGTGGGTGCACTTTCCCCTAGCCACATCTGTTGTTCTGTTGGCAGCCCATGGGATATATTCAGTACTCTTTTCCAATGCCACAATTCATGATTCTTCTCTCATCCTTATCCATGGTCCAGCTCTCAGATGCATACCAGGTGATTGAAAAGACCATGGTCTGAATCAGGAGTACCTTAGTCTTTAAACTGACATCATTGCTCCCCAGTACTTTAGAGGAGCAGACTTTCCCATTGCAACACTTATCTTTTGGTTTCTTGACTGCTGGTGCCAAGGGTGTTAATTGTGGATCCCACTAGTAAGATGAAATCGCATGTTTGGAATGTCCATATTGACATGTTGGCCCAGGTGAGCAGAGAATACACCTGTTCTCTTAGCCTGGCCTTCTAGAATGCAAAAGCTCAGACAAGGATTAAGGTCCTAGCACTTGTTTGAGGGGCAGAGTGGTAATACTGAGGGAGACGTGAATTGAGACAAGAGTTAGTGCTATGCATGTTGATGTGTTGTGTTTCTGAGCTGGCTATCAATCCCAAAGGAGCCTCACAGGGGCCTTGCAAGCTGCTCAGTGGACTGGCCTACTTGGCTGCCAGATTTCTCTGCAGGGACTGAAATAAGAATGGTGCCTTGCCGGGCTAGGGGGTGGGGGAGGGAGAAAAGGGAAAGGAAATATATCTGCTCAGCTTGCTCCTGTCTTCTGTTTCCTGTTAGTAGAGTCACCCAAGAGGCACCTCTCCTGGACTGCTGTGTTGTGTTGCTTGGCCCCTTGCCAGGCCCTTAGTCCCTAACTGTGGTGTTTTATTCAAGACCAAAAGTGGGAAAGTGCCCCCGAGTAAAAGAATGCAAAGAGCACCAGCCAGGAGAGAGAAAGAAGGCATTCAGGGAACCTCAGAAGGCCCCCAGCTTCATATCCCAGAAGGCCAGCTCGTCATTCTGTAAAGGACAGACAAGATTGAGAGAAAGTGGCCCTGGAGACTCTTTCTAAGTTGCCAGGTGATAGGCCAGGTGCACCTGGACGCCTGAGGCTGATAGGAAGCTGCTGTCCCTCCAACGGGAGGCGGGGGTCCTCTGGTCACGAGAAGCTCTGTGGGGTCAGCTCCTTTTGGGGGAGGGTGGGGAGACAGGCATGGATCACATGCTTTTCAGCTGGCAGCACAACTCCCTAGCCACTCGGCTGTCAGAGCTCCCTTTATTATTTACTAGTGTATTTTAAATTACAACACGATACTCATTACCTGCTAATAAGATAATTGTTTTATGACTTTTACTCCAAAAGGGAGTTCTGGTGCCATATCCAGAAAGAGGTGTGCTGTTCAGCCAGAGGCTGAGCTGTTCTGGAGGCTGGAAGTCACCACGGCTCCTCCGGAGAAAGACGGGCAATGGCCTTCCTCGTGATTTAGCACCGCAGGAGCCTGGGGGAACTGGTTCAGACCCCTTGGTAATGAGAGGGAGACCTTTCAAGGCAAACGTCAGCGAGAAAAGTGGCTTTGTCTTACATTGTCGCTAATATCTTGACATGTCTTCTTTAATAGAAGACAGGTAGGGTCCCATCTCTGCTTCTGCCAATCAGTGTGTCGTAGTATCACACACTGTGTGGAGAACTTTTGGAAAACTCTCCTGTAATATTCATGTGAAAATAAAAGCAAAAAATGGCAAATACCGTCTTCATATTATTATTATTAAAATAGCTTTGACCTCAACGAATCTTAAGAGTTTTCTGGACCTGCGTGGGCTCCCAAATGGAGCTGGTATCTCAGTGATTAAAGTACTCAACCAGAAAGTTAGCAGTTTGAATGCACCAGCCCTAGTGTGGGAGAGAGATGGGGCGGCCTGCTTCCATAAAGGTGTTTTGGCTTGGTTTTTTTTTTTAAAGTGCTGTTAGGGACCTCTCTAAAGTGCTCAAGAGCAACGGTGTCTCTCTGGAGACTAAGGTGCATCTGATACAGGCAATCACTTTGCAATCTTTGCAATCACTTGTTATGCATCAGAGAGTTGGACAATGACTAGGGAGGATAGAAGGAGAATTGATGCCTTTGAGCTGTGGTGCCGGAAAAAAGTATTGAACGTACCATGGACTGCCAAGAAAACAAACAGATTCACCCTGGAGAGGGTTAAACCAAGCTACTCCTTGGAGGCAAGGATTCTGGGGCTTCGTCTGACATACTTTGGGCATGTTGCAAGGAGGGACAGGTCCTTGGAGAGGGACATCATGCTTGGGAGGGTGGAGGGACGGCGCAAGAGGGGAAGACCCTCTATGAGATGGATTGATTCAGTGACTGGGGTAATCGGCATGGGTATGTTGGAGGCAGTGCAACTGGCACAGGATAGAGCAGGGTTTAGCGCTGTTGTACATAGGGTCGCTATGAGTCGCAAATGCCTCGACAGCACATAACAACAACATTTTATATTGGTTTGCTCACAAAGTTTGTATACATTGTGTTTCACACTATTCTTCATTCTTGCTGTGTTTCGTACAATCATTCCTGTGCATTATATTTTATAAAATCAACCGCCACTGGAGACCCTGCCCATCATTATCCAATCTTTTCAGGTCCCCACTGGATCCTTCCAGTTTCCTTCATCCCCTCCCTCCACCCACCAGACTGTGCAACCCTGTGCTTTTACCCCTACTCATCCTCACCCTTCTGCCCCCACCTCTTTCCTCTTTGGGTCCCCTGCTTCCTTAAGCTTTTATAGCCTGGGAAATCCCATGGGGTGATTCTTCTTTACCACTGGGCGTTGTTATCAGCAATGGGTTTTTGAGGAGTCCCTAAACCATGTGTTGAGAATCACTGTCCTAGAAGGTTCCTATCTTCCTACAGGGCTTATTCCGTTTAGCTCTGATCTGAAGCCTCTAGCCCATTGTTGTTTGTTACTGGCTCTGACTAATGGCAAACTTGTGTTTAGCAGGCTGAAAAACTGCCCACCACCTGCCTGTCAGACTGCCATACTGTGGTGGCTTGCCTGTTGCTATGCTGCTGGAGACTATGCCACTGGGTCAAGTCCAGTAGAGTCACTTATAGTAAATAAGTTTCAGTAGAGTTTCTAGACTAAGAAAGACTAGGAAGAAAGGCCTGGCAATCTACTTCTGAAAATTAGCCAATGAAAAACTTAAGCAATCACAACAGAACATTCTATCACCTTCCACAGAACATTTTGTCACCTTAATATGGCCTAGTGAGTAAGGAGTGATGCTGCCAACCCGAAGGCAGACGGGTTGAATCCACCAGCCCCTCTGTGGGGAAGAGGGCCAATCTCCTCCTGTGTGAGTTACTGCCTCTGGAAAACCCTCTGGAAGGTCAGCTATGAATTGGGTCCAACTCAAGAGTACATAACAACAACAGTAACAGCATACTTATAGAAAGACTTGTTTGTCAGAAGGAAGATTGAAAGATTTAGTGGAGCTGTAAATAAGAATAGTAGCATTGCAAAACAAATGCTGCTGCTGCTGCTAAAGATTGTCACAAACCTTGGCAGCTCAGCATATCACACTTCAGAGTGAACTTTCCACTGGGCTCATTTAATCAGTTCTCATCAGACCCTTGAAGGTAAATGGTTTGCTTCTCACTTTGCAAATGGAGAAGCTGAGCTGGTGGCCAGGACTTCTCCCAGTGACAGGAAGTGTTTTATGGGGATCATATCGCCCTCGGCAACACTAATGGCCTCATTCTCTTCCAGTCTGAGATGCAGATCCAAGACCAGAGACTCCTGCTCACCCTGAAGCATCTCCACTGCATCCTGGAGGAGCTGCGTGCTGACAGTGCCCACTGGGAAGACTCCAGATCCAGTGGGGGGCCCTCCCCTGTCAGAGCTCGGGCGGGCTCTGAAGGCAGAGGCCAGCGGCCTCCCTCCCTGAGAGGGTCAGCCCAGCTCCTGCGAGGAGAAGACAGCAGACGGAGCTCCCTCCCTTAACCGGCCAGAGATGATTCTGGCCTTAAACCCTCCCTCCACTAGTCTTGACCTTGAATGTGATGTTGTAGGAGGAGGAAACTGGAGTGGGAGTTGGAGGGCCAGGACTGTGGGCTCTCTTTTATCCTCATCCACTGTGTGTCCCTGGACATGCCACTCAACTCCTCTATGTTTAAAAGTTCCTTTTTATCACTTGGACTTTTTGATGAGGCACAAGTATGACATTAGGTGTGAATGTGCTTTGAAAACACAAACATCTCTATGACTCCGGCAAGTATCATGGAGGTGACTCTCTCCTTGGTAATTTCTCACAAGGTGATCATTAAGACAAAGAAAGAACTCAGTGTGTGAGGACGTCTATGGAGTGTTGCCATGGTGAAAAATCAGAATCCTGTGTAGTGACTGGCTGGCTGTCTCTGTCCTCATAGTCGCCTTCCCATTCTCTTCTATCTGATAACAACAGAATTCTCATGACCGCAAATGTAGGAATGAACATAATGATCAGGCCTGACCATGTATAACTTAAGTTCAACCTCACGACATTATTGGCCCAATTTGGGCCTTTTGATTCAAGAGGGTAAATCGTAGTCCTTTCTTAGAACTCCACTGGATGTTTTATCTGCTGCTGCACAAAGCTGGGAGCAGTCCTTGGAGAAGGACATCATGCATGGAAGCGTAGATGGTCAGCACAGGAGAGGAAGATCCTGGATGAGATGGATTGACACTGTGACTGGCAGTGGGGGCAGGCATATCGGAGACAGATCAGCTCAGGATAGGGCAAGGTTTAGAGCCATTGTTCATGGGGTCACTACGAGTCGATTGGCACATAACAACAATATGCAAAGTTGAAGTGCCTGTGGTTGGTTCCCTGCCAGGTAAAGAAGACTTGTTTGCAGTAGGCAAGGAAAAGAACAAATCTTCAAAGAGAGGTTGAGAGAGGGCGAAGAGAGAAGCAGAATCCTGGCTCATTCCAATCCCTAACTTTAGACCCCAATTCTGTAATTTAATCCTACACTCTTTGAAGCCATTGAAGACAGTAGATAATCCCACCATTCCCCATCACCCACTGATTTTCTTTTTTTTTTTTAATTGCTTTGAGCTATGTTTCCCTCAGCTAACAGCAAACAGTCCAGGTGTTCAAAGATATGAATGATGAAAAGGGCATTTCATTCATTCAAGGCGCATGGCAATAACCTGTAATGATTGGCCACAGGGCTTGTGCCAGGACATTCAGTTCTATGGGACACAATAGTCATGTCTATGAAAAATTCTATCTGCCTATAAGAAAGCCTAAAATGGGAAAGGGGGAACGGATGTAGTGTTAAGACAGCTCAATGATTAGTAAGCCTATTTATTCTTGAAATTCTTGCATGTAGCTTGAACAGTTTTTATGACTTAGAAAAAGTAAACTCATTGCATATAGAGGCAGAATGAAGGGCATTATCATGTTTATAGTCAGGCTAGTTTAGGGTCTTCTATATAATACTTGATAATATTAAAAAATATCTGGTTTTGCTTAAGGAGTCCTCAGCTTTTGTTAAGGTCGATGAGAAAAACTGGAAATAGTGGTGATAGTTCTAAGACATGAAAACGTACATCCTGTCTGATGCTGAATTGCACACAAGAGCGTGGGTAACACTAAATGTCTTGCATCGTACATTTCATGAAAATAAAAGTAAATAAAGGAAGCAGGAAAGAGTCTGCTCTGTGGTGCTGTGTTTGAGGCTGCAGATTACAATTGTTACTGCTGACTTCTTGTTGTTTATGTCTCAGTATACCATTAAGTCAACCGATTCATTGCTGACCCTCAGCAGGTTTTCGGAGGCTATCTGTATCACACAAGAGGAGATTTCTTATCATTTTGCTTTCTGTTAGGCTCTGCTGATAAGGTGGGTGAGCAAGAGGGAGACTGTAAAGCTGAATTGAGAGAGATTAGAGCATCACCCAGCAACGGCTCTTCACTTACCAGCAGCAAGCCTCTTTCATATCACCCAACTTCTCAGAGATCTATGGTCTAGGATCTGGTCCCAGAGTCCAGAGGACTCCTCCCTTGAGCTCAGAGACTCCAGCCCCAGATGGCCAGTGCTTCCTCCTCTCAATTCTGATGCCCTTCTCCACCTGGCGCTCATCACAGCTCAGAACCCCGGCTCCCACCTGTGCAAACCTCCCACCTCAGATATCTGATCCTCAGCTCCGCAGCCCCCTCTAAGTTCTTAAGTTTTAATCATTTCAAAGTTCTGTCTTTGTTTCGTCTGATGTGACTATCCTCATGACAACTTAGGATTCTTTTTCTACTCTTTTAGTCTCCAAATTAGGCTGCTCCGGTGTCTCAACTCTTTAAGGAGTTAAGCTGCCAACCCACAGGCACTTGGTTCAAATCCACCAGCTACTTTTGGAGAGAAAAATGGACAATTTCCTCCTGTGTGCTTTACAGCCTCTGAAAACCCACTGGATGGTCAGCTAAGAGTCAGTTCCAATATGGTAGCACATACGAACAGCCACCAAAAGGACCATTTTATACCAAGTTTTAACAATTCTTTATATCAAGTTCTATCCTCAAATAACGGATATGGTTCTGTCTCCTGACTATCCTAAATGATATTTTTTTCTTTTTTAATTGTTGCCAGTGTTGCTGTAATCATCCTTGGCCATGTCTCTTGATCCATATCTGCAAAAGACTCAAGCAAGACCCACACCTCACTCCATACACAAAAACCAACTCAAGGTGGATCATGGACCTAGGACTAAAACCAAGGACTAT